AAGCTGAAATATGATTTGTGTACTATAATAACAAATAATATAATGGAGCAACCGTTGAAAAAATGAATGTTCGTAGTTGCAGTTGCGAACGGTTTATTCACAATTAACTGTATCACATCAGGCCTGTTTGGTCTTTCTTCAGTCGAACAGGTAAACTAAATATTTCAACAAAATAAGAAACATGTTTTGCAATGCGGAACATAAATTTTTCAGGCACCCGTAAAGAAGCGAGTGAAATTATCCAATATAATGGACACTGAGGAACAATGTATGCTTGTTACTTATAAACAGGGCCCGGATTTTGATGACATGTCATCTTTTTTCCTTCTATCTTATGCGTTGCCTTAAATATCTCGGATATGAGTTGCTGGTTACAGAAATGTAAATTTTATAGGTATTTTTTGTCATTTTTTGACATATTTAGGTTTAAGGTCATTTTTTCATTTCTGGGGTAATATTTAGGGACTTTTTAGGCTTTCAAGGGCATTTCTTGTCATTTTTGGCTATTTTAAGTATTTTTTCTTCATATTTTTTTTCCGGAAATGTCAATAATATGAAAGCAGAGTGTTCTTTCTCTTTCTCCTATGTGCTCTCTACAAAGGCCATAGTTATCAATAATAGGTTGTAATCCTGGCCCGTCCTTTCCGTTCGTTTCGTGAGAGTGCGATGACTACTCACACTGCGGCTCTTTGTACATAGCAATTTGCTTAGTTACACATATTTCTAGTAGGAATCTATTACTTCATATGACATTGTTCTTCAATAAAACTCCATCTGTCTTCAATTCCTCGGTCTTGACCGTACAGATAAAGATACAGTTGACGGAAGGTTCTCGGTGAGAGAAGTTCAGTTCTGTCTTGCGATAGAGTGATTAATTTTATCACGACACTAAAATCAAAACCAACTAAATCGTGTCCTTTAAAGCAATTTGTAGCAGAGTTTGGAGATGATAAATTTTCAACTGACAGCGACATTTTATATTGCAAGATTTGTGACACAATAATAGCGGCAGAAAAAAAGATTCACGGTACAACAACATATCGGCCGCGAAAAGCATATACGAGCAGAGCAAATTTCGAAAAAAGAAGAAACTTGTGCAAATTTTACTGCAACAGTGTTCATCTGGAGATGAAAATAAGTCATCGGATTTTTTCAGAGACCTGTGTGATGCTCTGGCGTCCGCAAGCATTCCGTTTTTGGCTCTGAATAATGGAAAACTGAAAAAATTTCTAGAAGTAGACTGTGGTCGTTCCATCCAGGAGGAATCCACACTCAGGAAGAACTACCTTTATCAGTGCTACAACAGTATCCTGGAAATGATTAGGAATAAAGTGAATGGGAAGAAGATTTTCGTTTCCATTGATAAGACCTGCGATACGGAGGCTCGCTACGTGGCAAACGTCATCATTGGAACCTTGGAAATTGGCCGACCAGGTGAAGTGTTTCTGCTTATGAGTGTGGTGCTAGAATCCGTTAATCATTCAGCAACTTGTTAACTCTTCGAGATGTCGATGTTCCTACTGTGGCCAGAAGGTATATGACACGACGACGTCTTGCTTTTTGTGACCGATTCAGCCCCATATATTGTAAAAGCAGGGAAGTCAATAAAGTCGTTTTATACGAAATTGGTGCACGGTACTTACTTAGCACTGTATAGAGTGACGGAGGAAGTGAGATCAAAATTTCCTCAAGTGGATGCTTTCGTGTCTAGGACGAAGAAGATTTTCGTCAAGGCTCCAGCTCATAAAATGCATTTTAAGTCTATGGCTCCTGGTGTTCCACTGCTTCCGGAACCAGTCATTACAATGTGGGGAACGTGGATTGATGCTGCAATTTGCTATTGCGATCATTTTCAGGTAGTGAAAAACATTGTAAGTTCAATGAAGACGGAGAATACGAAGGCAATTGAAGCTGCTCAGGAACAGTTCTCGTGCATCGAAATGGAAGGACAGCTGATCTTCATAAAGGCAAAAATCAGTTCCTTGACAGAAGGAATCAAATGCTTGCAGGAGAAAAAAAGAACGCTAGAAGATTCGCTCGCTCTGGTGAAAGAAATAGCCAGTGATTTGGAGAAAGTGTCCGGGGACATTGTTAAAATGGTGTCAAGAAAAATGAAAAGTGTTCTGGATAAAACCTCAGGTTATGAAACATTATGCAGCATTTCTCGAATTCTGTCAGGAGAGTCCTCGCTTTCAGTATTGAAGAAGAACTTACTGCTAGTGATTTGGCATACTTCAAGTACGCTCCCATTGTGTCTGCAGATGTTGAAATGATTTTCAACAAGTAAACGAATGTGCTGTCGGACAATAGGAGCTCTCTCACTTTCGAGAATCTCCACATGTTGACTATCATCTATTGCAACACTGAATGAGGTAAGACTTAAATGTTGGAATACATACCGTATATGTAAATTTGATAAGCGTTCTAACACAATAGAAAAAATCGTATTAAAACATTTAGCTTCAAATTCAATCAGTATTGCTTAATTTTCAACATAAAAACGAGGACGAATTTAAAAGTGTAAAAATAAGTTCAGTGTTAACAAAGATTAAAAATACATTTTAAAATAATTAGTAGATATTCTGACATTACATTTTTAGTCACATTTTAGGTAATTTTTCTGGATTTTTTCGGTCATAAGATAGGTAATTTTTTCAATATTTTCAGGTCATCAAAATCCGGGCCCTGCTTATGGATTGTGCTTTTCATTCCAACATAATCTTTATTGGTGGTCGGAACTCAGTTAATATTAATCAATTGCCCGTTGAGAAGCGAAACGCACAACATTGTCCCCCTGAATATAACTGACTGAAGAAAACAAATAATAATATGAGGTTTTGCTATTCTTAACAGTTTCGAACTATTTATGCATAACGATTTGTATCCGAATGCATCCATGCAATCCTTTACTTTAGGACTCATTGAACAAATACTAGCAGCTATGAACGTTTGATTTGTGATGCAGTTCAGAAATCGTTCCTATAACAGCAAAGGAAGCCAGAAAATAATCATTGTAATAACATTCTAATACGGAAATTTTTATATATAATTAATTGTTCATAAGAAAGGTTTCTAATTGGTAACTCATTTATAAGTGCATAATTCTAATCCGTTTGCTCTTAAGAAATATAGGGGTTGTCCGGAAAGTAGTGCAATTTGTTTTTTTCCACCGCTCCTCCTGGTCCCAGCTCGTTCGCATCGTTGAGAAAGGGGGCAGGGACTCTTAGCTTCACAACGCTTCCAAGCTCAGTCTTCTAGGTCTTCTATGAGCTCTGGGAGCGTCAGGATCGCTGTTTCCGTGAACCTCCTGTTAGTTCCTGTGTCACGACGCGCAATGGAGAAAACTATCGAACAACATTACTCGATCAATTTCTGTGCTAAACTGAACAAAAGTCTCGCCGACACTCACCAAATGATTCAGGAAGCATACGGGGACTCTGCTCTCTCCTATTCTTAAGTCTTCAGATGGTTGAAATTGTTTAAAAATGGCCGGGTAGAGGGGGAGATGACCCCCGCTCTGGACGGCCGTCAAGCAGCAAAAGTTAGAAAAATGTGTCTCGTGTTCGTGATCTTTTAAATACCGATCGTCGAATGAGTGTTCGGATGATAGCAGAAACTCTCAGTATTCCGAAAACCACTGTGCACGACATCGTTACCGACAATTTGCACATGCGGAAACGCTCCCAGCCACACAGCTCTGCGTGTCGGAGAGTTTCTGGTCAATCACAGCTTGGCAACGTTGCCCCAGTCCTCCTACAGTCCCGGCCAGGCTCCGGCAGACTTCTTTTTGTTCCCGAGGATCAAGACCGCCCTGAAAGGAGCACGTTTTGGAACCACTGAGTCCATCCAAACCGCCGCGACAAAGGCTCTAAACGAGGTCACCGTCAACGCCTTCCAGGATGTGTACCGTGCATGAAAAAGTCGTTGGCAAGTGTGTGGATGCCCAAGGGGAGTACTTTGAAGAATTTTAAACGTCTGTAACGATATCTTGAATACTTTTTTTTTTTTACGAACTTAATAGCATTACTTTCTGGAACCCTGTATGATCATGCATTACGGCGGACGATAATACCCAATTGAGATGACGTGAGCAACCAATCAAACATTATGTAAGATTTAAGGTTATCACGGCAGTGACTATGAAAAAACATTCTTCTGAGATGTGGCACAGTGTAGATATTGTGTTAACTGACGTCTCGGAGGAACGTACCGCTTCCATATTCTGGGTAGATGAAAAAAGTAAGAAAATCCTTTGAGTGAGGAATCAGCGTGAGCAGGTGCTAACAGATTAATGTCGAGTCGAGTTAACCCAGCTGTATAAGAGCAGGAATAGAAGGATGGGGGGGGGCTACGGCTACATTGGTAATCATTAGAGAGGAGAGGGGAGGGGTCTGGTGAGGTGGGCCAGCAGGTAGAAGGCCAGAATAGGTACAGAATATTGAGTCAGGGGAGAAAGGCAAGGTTAATAGGAGGGCATAAACTCTTAAGCTTCAGGGTTGTTATGCGAGTCAGGCATGGACTAGCGTGGCCTTGTGGATCTGGCGTCATGTCCCGAAGTTTTCTTGAGGTAACAGATGAGAGGCTTCCATGACTTGCTGAGACAAAACCCCACTCTCTGTTCATATTGTCGGGATGGAGTTCAATCTCAATGGCTTCCCTAATGATTCGATCCATAAAACGGATCTTGGTATCGTGGATGAAGGTATTCTGAAGCCGAATGCGGTGTTCCAAATCGATGCTGTGTTCAGCCACAGCTAAGTTGTCCGGATGTTCGAGGCGGATGTGCCGCTGATGCTCCTTAAACCTTGTGTCCACGTGTGCCCGGTCTGTCCAATATAGACCATTAGACATTGCCGCACTCATAGGGGAGCCTATGAAGTTGGAAACCAGTTGTCTGCCTGAAATCGGCGACTTTTCTCGAAAGCTGTGGTTACGTTGCGGTTGCTAGTTTCTTTGGTGTGCTCTCGCCCGTAATCTCTGAAATAAATAATTTTGCTCATCGTATGGTGATCTACGCCATCTACGTTCTGCGCAAATAAGAAATATGGCAGTATATATGCTGAGGTTGAGTAAAGTAATTGGCGAATCGGTTTGGGGACAGCAATTAACGAAAGGTTATTATTTTTGTGACAAGTTGAAGGTTGTAGTTTAGATACTCTTAGATGGTATGATGATCATTACACTGTTTAGTATATTCACGATATATATACACAGCAGTGTTCAGTTGAGTAAAAACACCACCGAGGGGTGAAAAACTGAATTTGTGTATAATAGCCACTGAAATTAGGGTTTTCCTTGACAGTTTTCCCCACAGTGATGCAATCAAAGCCAGCGGACATTTCTACATTAGATTACTCCCAAGCGAGTAACAGTCATGAGTATAAATCAATATTAGAAGCTGCTAGTGCTTGACGTTTTAGTTTGCAGTATTGTTAAAAGTAGTATGTTGTAAGCAGAAAATTACTGTCGTCTCATAATTCATGGAAGAAACATTATTACATAAGGCATTTTCTGATTCGATTCACTTTTTAAAGTCTGCTAGGAAGGGTATATTCCCCCATACCAATGTCTTGCAGCAATGCGGATATAATTTAATTGTCTGAACTGTTGTCTCTGTATCTCTTTTTCAGATGTGCTAAATTCTTCACAGAGAATATCAAATAAGGTCATTGCATGTAATAATGTTCCAGTATACACACCTATTACCATAAGTCATAGGAACACAAGTTTCTTCAATAAGTGTAAGTAAGAAAATAGGCTTTAATGACAGTTTTATTAATGTAGATTTTTTTTTTGTCATGGGTGAGTCCAGTAGCATATGATTATAGACTGTTTCAGTTAAACAGTTTTTAGTCATTTCATAACATGAGTTACCATTTTCTGTACGAGATCCAATTTTGAGTAATATTTTTCATGTTTCTACAAGTGTTTTACTGTGAAATTAATTCTTTATTGTAACTCTTTAACATTGGAGGCTTAAAATGAGATAATTATGTAATTTGACATGTAATATAATGAGATATATACTTTTCTGATATGAATGCATGAGGGGTAGGCCTTCTCAGTCCTTGCACCACGACCTACAATGGTCTGTTGTGTTTTACTTTTCTGATATGGTTATTACTGTTGTTAACACTGCCAAACATCTGTCATACAGAACAATAGTTAATTTTAGTATCGTTCACTGATAGTGCCATATCATGGGCTGGGAGAGTGGGGAAGGTCTTCAATAGTGTATTTCTGCTGTACGTAGACATATTGAGAGGCCTGTGAGCATGCTGTAGCAAGTCAGAAAGACATTGCAGTAAGACAGTAGTAATAACACACTATATTGGTGGTCACTGAAAGATTTTAGATGAACATTATTTTCCCCCTCCTTTTCCTTTTTCATTATTTCCATTTGTCTTTGTCATGTATATTTATGATCGGGCAAACGTAATCTTAGAGAATAAATGTACATATTTTTGAGGAACTAACCAGAATGATGGTTTTAACACCTAGTTGTACAGTACAATTTTTGTTCAAGTAATGATTCTGCTATTGGTTCCTTTTAGTTTTATGAGTAATCTGTCTTTTCCACTCTACAATATTATGATCTAACTCCATTGTCCAGGCTTATCCCTGAGCAGTTTAGTTATTTGCCTAGTGAGAGAGATTCCTTACTTAACACTGGCATTTTGTTTCTTACTTTTCTGATCTTGTTCAGAGAGTTTCGGATAACTTAGTTTTTTATGTTTTATTCTTGAGATAGCTGTTGTTATGACTCTATGATATAGTATTTGTGTATTTATCTCTGTTCTTGGTATACTGCTGTTGCATGTCATGAATGACATTCCACTGACAACATGAATGACCAAGAATGTTTCCTCATGAAAGTATAAACTAAGCAGCTGTGGTGCCTCTGAACTCAGTTATAATCATGAATATTCATGTCATTCCTATTCACAGTATGCTGTGTCTCAATGTTAACTTTGACTAATATGTAAAGCATCCATTTAAATATTTCAGTATCAGCTGAAGCACTATGGAAGGGGGTAACAAGTGTCAGCAATGCCGGCAGGAAACGTGGTCGAGGAAAAGGTGTTGGGAAGAAGATGGCCAAAAATCTCAACAGAGGACAGGTCATAGGCGTTGGTATGTAGGAATTTGGTGTTAACAGATAAGAAATTCTGTNTTAATTGGTTAATGTGACGGACCAGAATGAAAGACCTTAAAAATATTTTACACACATTATTTCAGAATTGGTTCTATTCTCATCATAAGGAGACAGTTGTATTTTAGCGTCCTGTTACACTGATTTTCATCCATGATATGTTTACAGTGGCCATCTTGTAGTGCACTCAGTTTCACCTGTTACTTCACGACATGTTTCGGCAACATAGTGCCATCATCAGGTGCCCTAATTACGTTAATCTATCGCATTGCTTGACCTCATATGTCTTCACACTTGCAGATAAGAAGGGAACACACATCACAAGACATGGTTTACACAGAAAATAAGAAAAAACGACCCCATAGTGAATGAACCACACGCAAGTTTTAATTAAGACACATAAGATGAATAATCTTAACAAGTTTTAGTGAGTGTAAATTTATTATAGTTGACAAATACGCACTTTATAAATACTTTTTAAATGGTGTTATGATCAGTGGCAATGGTCAGATCGAATCTGGTTCCCTTTGAATACTAGACCTACATGCTAACCACAGGACCAGAGGATGTCAGTCATAACTCTCTGTCTTAATTTGTATACCACTGGGATTTTCAGAGTTTCCCATTCATAAACTAACTCACCAACAGTGCAATGCATTGTTATGTTTGAGCAGTTCATAGTTATTCATCTGATTAAGCAGTTCCCTTCCGTTTTGAAACCCTAAAAATAACTTACTACTGTCCACTATCCCAAACCATTTCCATTAAATTGCTTTAATGACTGTCTTTTCAAAATCAAAGACAGAAACACAAATACTTGACTTAGGCATATCAACAAAACTACTGCATCACCACTGCTGCCACTGCCACCACTACAAATAACAGTGACTAATAATAATAATTTGTCATCACCTCGTTGTTGTTCTTCTTGTTCTTCTGTTCTCACGTACAGTGTGCATGTGTGTGTGTTAAAAAGAATTGTTACAAGTTCTGAGGGGCCATAATAGTCACATAAATGAGCAAAACAGTTCCAGTCAATGTATGTCCAGAAACCAGTGCCAGCTGAGACATGGGTGATGTTCATGTGAGCTATACAGCGGACATTTTGTGTGATTCCCATGTATTTCAACACAGGTTTCTGTTCTCTTTGCATAGAGGTGCAAACTCTGTCAAAAATTCCTGGTTTCAGTCGAATCTCCTGACAGGCATTCTCTACTCATTGCTGTAATACCGTGAAGTCATTGATCGGCACAGAATATGCCGAAAGGATTAAAGGTCAGGGGATCATGCTAGCCAGTTGTTGTTGTTGTTGTTGTTGTTGTTGTTGTTGTTGTTGTTGTTGTT